GGTAAACACATGCAGCCATTTTCGAAATTCTAACTAAAAGTAGAAACTCATTTTTAATCGACGTCTTCCGTGGCGTTGCCGTCCTGACTGCTTAAAGTCCCTGCTTTCTGATTAGATTTGCCATAGAATTAACGAGAGAATTCTTCAAGCATTAATTTCCCCCTTTATATATCTTAACTTTCCAAAAGTTGGTTGCTTTTTTTAAATAAGTGAACCGAAATTTATCAGCTCTAAATGGACTCAGGTTTTTGGCAAAAAAAATATACAAATCTGCCAACCGACATAAACATGATAAGCGTTGAAATAATATTTCAAGCCAATATGAGTTTTTATCACCTGTTATCCCCAAATGCAAGGTGATCTAGACACCTTTTTGTATTATCCTTTTGTTATTCTTGCTATTTCTAATGAAAAATGTTTGATCCAAAAGACACATTGCTCTCTTCATAGATAAAACTGACATTCCGAAAGTTATCTGTACCTTACGATGTGTCTTTTAGAAATTTTGTCTACACTCCTCGCTCTCTGAATATTAATGCATTATTTATAATATAAAGCGCTTTCACCAGATTCTCGAATGTCCTAGAGCGCTTTTATAAGAATTGGGATTTAAAAAAGATGTATAATGCAAAGCTAAAAGACAGAATGCTTTAAACATTGAAATTAATGAAGAACCTTTTAAAAGTTAGAAATTTTTTTTCATGATACTTTCGAAAGATGGCAAGCAATACACAGCCGAGGCGCAAAAATGTAGAAGTAGCGATTCCCACGAATGTGAAGGTTGTAATTTTTTTTTTATTTTTTTTTTTTTGGGCATTTTTTTTAAGAAAAGGCTTTTCACCCGTCGTTATCTAGTAAATAAAAATCGGCTTTGAATAAAATTTTACAACGTTCAACCGTTTTTTTACGATTCTTTATGAAATAAATTTTTCATTCCCCTGCGAAAGTCCCTACTTGCAACTGAATAGATAACTGGATTGACCGCAGAGTTCAACATGACGAAAACCGAGATTGTGTACAACAGATTTTGGTAATAGTCTTGTGCCCCCACTGCAGGCCAAAACACGATGATCAATCGGAGAACGTTCAGAGGAAGCATTGTAACCGCAAACACCAGAACCATAGGTGTGAGAATTTTCTTTGCCCGCTTGTTTTGACGAAGGCGCGCATTTTTCGTCGAAGAGCGACAATCCTTTTCTTGCACTGCTTCATTATCACGTGTCATATTTTTGATCAATGTGTTACTTCGACGGATTGTACGCGAGATCGCCAGATAAGTCCATGAGATCACAGCTAGGGGTAACAAATATGAGAAAACTGTCAGCAAAATCATGCACGCTTGTGCTAGCAACAGCGATGACCATCTAGGACCGCACCATCTCCCGGATGTTTTCTGATATTCTACCACAAAGTAAAGTGGTAAAGAAAGTGCTAGAAAAGAAACAACCCACACAGAGACAACAACGTACTTGGCCCTGCAATTGTTCCAACTATGTCTACGCGGTGTTATTATCTTTCGATATCGGTCGAAGGCAATAACTGCTATGCACCAAACCGATGCCCCGTGAAACATTTCGGGAATCGGATACAAGTAGAGACAAGCAAACTTCCCAAAAGGCCAATCATAAGGCATTCTCTCTTTGATAGCCACGAGTGGGGCTGAAAGCAAGAAGATTCCTAGGTCCGCAACAGAAAGATTTTGTACAAAAATATCGGTCGTTGATTTTTTCCTTTTCATCTCTCGAATGACGGTGAAAACCATTACATTACCGAAAGTTCCCAGTAAAGCAATGATCAACTGAAAACCTATTTGTAACTTTGTGATGAGAAGTGAACCAAGATCTTCATTCGATTCTTTCGTCAGAGAAGCGCTTCTATTGAAACTGGATGAGTTCCATAGCCATGTTAGGTTGTCGAAACTTCCAATATTTTCTGTGCAATTATCCATAAACTCATCAATTGGCATTCCTACGTCTTCTTCTCTTTTTTTTTTTTTTTTAACCAAGCCCTTAGCTTTAACTAGTGTTGCGTTTTTCACGCGCGCTTAAACCTCTCTTGATTTCTTGTTACCATGAACTGGGACTGATATAGCTAATTTTCAATGAAGAACTCTTAAGGTTTTGCCCAATAAATTCGGCACACTACTGAGAGATCTTTCAAGATTAAGACTTCTTAAGACTTCAAGGCCTCCTTTTTTCCTTTTTTCGATGCTTTTCTTAATTGAAACCCCTGCAGTGCATGCTGTAAACAGATGGAGTGAAATACGTAATGGGAAGCTTTGCTATAGGCCGTAATTAAAAATAATCTCAAAATGAAAAGCCCCTCAAAGCTCTAGTTATCATTCAATTTCATTATTTTCGTGTAAACTGTTCGCCCAACTCTAAACAAACAAAGTGCATGCAGCGAAGTGTCGAAAAAGAACGCCTGATGTTGTGATACACCCTACTTCGTTGCTTTGTCCGTTTGATGATTTAAAGCAATGTTTTATACATTTTAAAATCGATTAAAAGTTTGTTTGGAAGCGAAGAATAGAAGGTTTATTTTATGTGGAAGACAAGCCCTATCTTTTGATAAGCGTAATACATCGGCTACATGTCAGTGACTAAAGAAAAATCTTTTAAATGAAATGTCCAGGTAAACGTTATCATTAGAACGAGTCGATCGGTCTGATTCTAGTAAAATTTTCACCATTTCATTCATCAATACTGAATTAGATAGTCTGTTCTGTTTGTATTAAGATATTTGACAGCCTTAATTCTACTGTCTGGGCCTATCTGAATCGCTTTGCATCGCATCCTAAATAATCGTCTTAAACCAAAAACAGCTAGTAAAAGCTGGTTAAAGCTTAACTATGAAAATACATAACACAGTGCAAAAAAACTGCTATTTCTGCCTATGTTAATGGAACGGCGGTTAAAGATGCAAACAGACATTAAGTTACACCAAAGAAGTTATATTGGCATCACGTTTAAAAATGGCTTCTCTTTATTTGGTTGTTGCCCGTGTGTGGGTGTTTCATCACATGTTGCTTCATGATAAGCGAAAAGGTAATGTAAGGTTTGAAAACAAAAAAAAAAGACATTTAATAATTATTCGTAAACAGAAACGTCGGTAAATGTAGATATTTCCAGACCATCATGTCTTGCTCGACTCAAAATGTTCAGTAAGTCATGCAAGGTCTGCGTACTCGAAGAATATTTCCTTCTCCAGCGAATTCTCCAATTTTCGGTCGCTAGTGTGGAAAAGGGCCCGGTAAAAGTCAAAACAATAGTCTCTTGGCTTTCAAGAAAATAAAAGCCTGAGTAACTAACAGTTAGGTTCGTGACACGCAAAAGCCTATAATCCAGAATGTCCGCTTTCATAGCCGGAAAATTTGAATGGCGCTTTCACAAGATAGTTACCTATTAGAGAGCAACATCCCTCGCTAAATTGCTGTCTTTGAAACAAATCCATGGGAAAGGATTTGTTCGTTAAAATTAGTCAAGAAAATCGTGTGAATATGTTAGAAGCTCAAGCTGTTTTTACCGCCAAACTGTACAAAGTAGTTGGCACTTATGAAAAGTCTAATCTCAGTTTTTAACTATATTTATTTCGCAGGAAACCTTCACCTATGAATACGGAATTTTCACAAACCCAGTATGGAAAATTAAGGCTCCGACTAATTGGCTCTTGCGTCAGTTATAAAATCTTCATTTATCTGTGATGGCATCATCTTGTGCATACGGATGAATGAATTCAGTGAAAATAAAGCTTGTCTAAGATAGAGATTTCTTTTCCTTACTCTTGTTTGTAAAGAAAGCTATTTAAAAATATGGAATAATTCATTTACATATGCTTCTCGTACAGTAGTCAAACTCGAGAAGTCAAAAATTTATGTTTTTCTTTTTAAATACTAAGATAATCATTTATTTAGCGAAAATGTCTTAGTGTGACGCCAGTAAAATTAATGGAATCTTCCTTCAAAGCGATGTGATCATCAGAAAAATACAGGGTTGGCCATTCACTTCTGCGATCTGAGTCGTGCTGGGAAATTCGTCAGGGGAAGACTTCTTCGGGCAATATGGGGATTAATTCTTTTCATGATTTTAAGCACTCAAGATGTAATTAAATTGAATTAGTGGAATGCACACGCGGGAGGCACATGGGGCTGTACATGGAATAACTAGAATGGAGCGGTGTTCATGTTTTCTGTTTCTTCGACTCAGTGTGTTACTGGCTCTTGAAGTCTGTTATAAACTCGTGTGATATTGAAACTGTCGGAAGCAATCCAATCAACCATGAACCGCACACTGTGACTATGATTGAAGAAAAAGAACCTGTCCAAAAGGTATGAAAATCGCTATGAATAATTATTTTGCAGCACCTGAGGTTGAAAAGGTTGATTTTCAAGCTTTTAGAATGTTCCACTGTCGTATTTATAGGTTTAAGGAGGGACACATCGCGTATAATGGCCGAATATTTGCGCATATTAATGAATGCTGTGATGTTTCGAAAAAGAACTGCGGCATATATTTTGGCGAACATCACACTTTCGAATTAGAATTCACCAAGACAAAAAGCCTCATTATATCCTCTTGAATTCGCTGGTGTGTAGCGTCTAATCTAAAGAGTTTTCATCGACAAATTCCTAAAGCTAGGGGTTGTCGCGATATTTTATATAAAGAGAAATTTCCTTTATTTAGAATAAAACTTTTGAATCATCGAGACAAACACCTAAAAGATAAGGACACCGACTCCTCCCTGGTCTTCACTAATTTTCCTACGCGGACGTAAGAGTCGCGAGGGGGAAGCTTTGCCGATCTGAAGCGCCCATTTTTCCCGCGGGCAACTCTCATGCGCTTCCCTCGTGAACAGGTTAATACCTAAAAGTAGAGATACCACTGAGAAGGAGTCAGTTAACATACAACTGGAACAAAAATGGTTGAGAATGGTTAAGATGAACTCGGACTACAAATTTTTGCTCCGCCGAACAAAACCTCTTTTGATCTAAGAATCTCGGATCAGGGAGAAGGATTTTTTTAGAAGGGATTAATATCAGTCTTAAGAAAAAAAAAAAGAGAGGAGAAGGGGACGTTAAGGATTCTTATTCTGAAAAGCCTATGATTCCCCATGTCGGATATCTCATTGTGAAGGCCCGTGGTGATCCTTATTTAAAACTGGTAACTAATCTTATCAAAAGTCTCGGTTCCTTTGTAAGACAGGAATTTTAAAAATGCTTCCAAGAAGGTTGAAGATATTCCACCAAATAAAACAAGAGTCCCTCTTATATATGGCCCCTTCAGCGCTAAACCATAAGAAATCTTAAAATGAAACTTTATTTCTAAAGTTAGGTCCACTATCCACAATGATACGGCCTGATTAGTGCGCCTCCCAAAATGAGGATTGCAAAATGCTGTTGTTTTTTTCCTTTTATGACACGATCACAGCCCTATCAATTGTTTCTAGCGCGGGTGACTTCTGCCTTACGAGATATATCCAGCGTAGTGAGAACGAGAAACGTGATATCTATTTAATTAATTTTTTTTTTTTTTCCAAGGAGTTGAGCTTGATTTTAGAGCTTATTCAGTTTTGGTTGAAATCCTTATCTGGTAATGATTTGGAACTGGAATCGCTGTAAAAGGAATGAAAGTAGAAAGTGTGCTTGCAAGTTTCCTAGTCTATGATAGTTGGTCGAACAATACTACATGGAAAACGTGGATGGAAAACTAAGGTTGCATTCATAGTAAACAATCCGTTTTAAAATCTTGCTCGCTGGAATAACAAAAACAAAATGATGGGGAAAAAAATGAGTTTCTGGATAGGATTGTATGATGTGGCATAGCGTGCAATTTTAATCCTGTTATGTCTTAAATTTGGTCCTTAGATCAATGCAATATTTGAAATGTCCATAGGCTGTAAAACATATCATCCTTTCAGAATAAGGTTGCAGTTTTTTCATTGATCAGCTCTAAAAATATCATCTTTCTCAAGAACAACATCAAACAATTCCCGTACTTCAGTATTACATGTATGTCTTTTCAAGAGCCCTTGTGATACTCAGCTCACATTAAATATCACATGATTCTCCTTATTTGCGATAGCATCTCAAGTATTTCTACCAGTGTTGCTCATGTGGCGCCTCGTTTTCGTCTTATTATGTCCAACATTGTTATAAATCCTTTGATTTCACCCAGATGTTATCTGAATAGAGATTTTTAATTTTTCAAGCTTCCGAATCATTTAAAATCAAATTTGTGGAAAATTCAACAATGGGAAGTCATGTCCAACCATGACTGTTTGTAAGCAAGCCCCTCAAAAGCGCAACCTCTTCCCAAACAAATATCAATGAAAAATCGCAACAATTGTATATTCGATCTGAACTTGTCATCACGCTACACTACGCCCTTAAGTTACACTCTGTAGAAATTCAGCAGCGGACACTGAATGCCTCTGGCTTCTCCGACAGTGCGATGAATAGCACATGACAAGGTTAACAGTGAGAGCATGCTAGGCAGGTAATGTATTCAGTGACGGCCCTAGAAAGGTACACCTACTTGAGTAATTTTGATGAAATGGTCAACGTTCGCGTATCAAGAAAATATTCACCTTAAACTGTTCAAGGTGGTCGTGAGCAATCCGTGTCAATTTAATGCTGACCGCTTAACCATTTATACATTATGGCGATCTGTTGATGTATTTTTCTCATTTTAGTCTTTTTCTATGTTCCCAAAATAATATTTGTAGGCTCCATTTCTTTAAGAATACTTCTGCACATCAGAAAAAAAAAAAAAAACTGGCATTGTTGCAAATAAAAAAAAAAATTAAGAGAGAAAATGAGGGAACAATACATTGGTGGCAGGAGTCGAAGATAAACTTTGGGCTCAGACGTTGCTGTGGCATCATGATGTAACTTGGCTTATGCTGTTGACAAATAACGTAGCGTGAAATATCACAAGCAAGTCTATACTTTAAGTGGCGTAAGACTAGAAAAATTCAAATTAGGTAGAAGACACGAATCGATTGAAATATCGCCAAAAACATTTTTCTTAACACCTGAATAGCCTCAGCTTATGGCATGCCACTCTACTCATTAGTCTTAAATTGCATAAAAGCCTCGGTGAAAGAGAGGGGCGCTAGTTTATCCCTCCCTCCTCCCCACTTCTTTCAAACCTGGTATTAGTACTAAATGGAGACACATTAGCTTAATATTAACCCCTTCATACCCGGAAGTGATCAATATGAAATCCAGTACTGTCTAACCTTAACAAGACAGCCATCTTGGGGACAGAGGGAAGTGGTCGTTGAAGAGAGGCGGCTATCATTGATAGGTACAGAGGCGTAGCAAGGATGAGGAGGGGGGTTTCAAAGTTGCGAGGCTCCACATGTCTTACGTGAAGTGGCCTATACCACTGCTCTCCCCTGTGTAAGCGCCTCTCCCCTGTCAAGACCTCGGGCCGATATTCTCCCAGTACGGCCCTCGCGCTTGGTTAATAAGATATATATACGTTAATTGTCGCTCCCCCATAGGGGCTTTTCAGCTGAGGAGAATGTGCTACCTTTCTATAATATCAGGAAATTGATAGACATTCTAGTCTTCTCGGATAAGGACGAATAAACCGTAGGTCCCGTCTCCTGTAGGGTTGGGGTAGGAGACGTTAATTTCCCACGCACGAGATCACTGTGTGGTGGATGTCCTCCCCTGGGGAGGGATGGGTGGGTACTAGGGGCCCGCAGTAATTGGCGCAAGCTGTACGGGGGTCCATGTCGGCGAAGCTAACTAAGTCCTTGAAAATCCCCGCTGAGAATAAATCCAGTGAGTGGCAGGATGGAGGACTTGAACCCGGGACACCGGATTACAAGTCCACCACTCGGCCACGCCGCCTCCTCCTAGATTTTAGTTATCATGGTTATCATCACCTAATTGATCGCGATGTAGAGAAAAGATGAGAGACCTACTTTACGAAAAAAAAAATAAAATAGTTTATTCACGAGATTAACTTGATTAATGAATCAAGCTACGTATGTTCAACACATATTCAATTAGTCCTGATATTTTGAAGCCGCTGCAGTGCTGGAGTTCTTCAAATCCAAAGACTTCAAAATCTTGTCAATGTTCCTTCAAAACCAGTTCCTTTTTGCGTTTTTTCGAGTTTTGCAGGCGTCAGGACGGATGTGGGGTGGCTACCCCATAAAAAAAAGAATAATCTCTCTAATTTCTCAGACATCCCTGAGCACTTGACAAAATTAACCAGAATTTAGAATAGAGACCCCCAGGTGAGACCAGTGGTGGTTGCATTCCTTACCACAAAATAGCAGTCAGTGTAAAAACCCAATAGACCTTGGGATATTTCCACGCATATTTTTTTTAAATGAGTTAACACTTTACACGCGTTTACCGTGATCTCGTACTTATAACTGGCGTCAAGAAATGGTTAGATATTCTAATCTTCTCGGATAGGGACAAATAAATGGAGGTCCCGTCTCCTGCAGGGTTAGGGGTAGGAGACGTTAATTTCCCTCGCACGAGATCACTGTGTAATGGATGTCCTCCCCTGGGGTGGTTGCTGGGTGGGAATTGGCCTTGAAAAGCCCCCATGGGGAGTGGTCAATTAATATATGTATGTATGTATGTAATGATCGAGGGGTTAGGAAGATAGTGTTCACAACTTCGACCGGTGCGTATACTATGGCACGCGCGAATTCCCAATGCAACCGCTTAACTTTCAGTTCGCATACCAAGCTACGGACAATCGGCTTGATCTATAATCCCCTTATGGGGCTATTCAGTCTGTTCAAAGCTGGGTAATTGAGTAGAAGTTGGGTATGCGTTATACGCAATGCATAGCAAAACGTGAATAGTGATTGTATCCTTTTACGAACTCGTTTAGTGTGGAGATGTTCTGTACACCGGAGGGTCTCCTTCTGTGTGGGATTTTCTCCGTTTTGTGTTTGATTGTTTCTCGCGCATTAGAATCTGTGACTTCCACTGACAAGACCTGATAACGCTCTTTAGTTTCCTCATTCGAGATTTAATTATGAACTAGTGATGAGGCACCGGTAGCTTTAAGCTTTACACAGTACTGAATCTCTTCAAGTGAAATACTGGATTTGATTAGTTTGGCGCGACGCGAAACCGTCCAAAATCAATTGAATTAAGCCTTGGAAACGATTAAAACTACCTCAAAAGTTGTGTTTTATGTAGTTCACCTGTAAACAGAAGCCGTAAAAGGATAAGAAGGAAGAATTTGTGAAAAAAAAAAATCGTGGCTGGTATAACGCGGCGTTTCGTCTGAGCCAAAAGACTCATCAGATAATTTTCGAAAATTTCTAGCAAATTCGTTGAGCATCGCGCTCAAAGTCCCCTTCGCGAAATCAAGAAGTTGGCCGTCTCGTCCTCTATCGGCGCAGGAATTCCCAACCGCAGGTTCACGAGTTGCAATATGTACAATGAAAAATTGTAGGTATTTAACAACTTTTCAACTGAGAAAGAATTTACAATGATAAACTGGATACTTGTAGCTGCAGCTTTGCTTACTAATTGTATTGAAATTTTGCTGGCCAAGTTCGAAATGCTTCGTGAGCTTTATGATGTGGTCTGTTATGCTGTTTTCGTGAAATATTAGTCGGGCCTGAATCTTGGATCAGTTTTATTTAACGGAATCAGTTCTAGACACGCCGGATGCTTCAATGAAGTTTGATTAGCAGGCTTCATAACCGATACATCTTTGGAATTGAATACGCGGAAAGACCATGCTGAAAACTGTTAATCTACTCGATAAAGAAGGATGGTAAATTTTTAGCTCGGTCGTCAAATAGAGACATAAAATTTCAGTTAATCGAAGCCATCAGCGCTACTTTTTGTCTTGGCATAACCTTAGGCCGCCAACATGTCTTGTTTTACTCCGTTGATTTAACTTATGATTTTCAAAACGACACGGGGAAGAATGGGGCCGAGTGGGGGCTTCACCCGTTCGCTCCCGAGGTTTTTTTTTTTTTCTCCTTACTGTCCACCGCACAATTCTGATGTCAGTTCTGAGAATTTGGTATTAATTCGATGAACTGAGAATCCTCTAGCTGATAATGTTCTGTATTCTCATCACTTATCTGCTTGATATTGTATTGATATTGTAAGGAGAAACTCTGCCTTGGTCACTCAAGGATTAAAAACTCCTCACGCTACTGTTGGAAAAACAGTCTGTTTTAGTAGTTCCTGATTTTAACTTAAGTCTAGCTCAAACCTCTCAGAACTTCAGAACTTCAGAAACTTTATTCACACTTATTCTACTAAAAAAATACAACAGCAAGAGAGAAAAAAAAAAAGGAAAAAAAAAAGAGAGAGTTCTAACTATACATGAAATTACACAAAGCAGTGTAAAGAGTGTGTAGTAGCCAAAGGAGCCAAGCTTTCAAGTTGGCTACTACCATACAGCAGTAACAGATGGCTGGAGGTTGAATACTTAAGGAGATAGCACATACACTATATAGTTAAAATATTAAAATAGAGCTATATGATATATTAGAGTTGATCAAGATATCATACTAAGTAAACGTGATTTTGCAACGAATAAACCAGAGGCTAATGCATATCGACGCTACCTGTGCTTGTCAGAGACCATGCGAAAAAGATCATGACATCAGCCTTGGCAAAGACTGAGAAAGAGCTGTTCTAAGATATGAAACACATTTTGGAACGGTGAAGCTTTTGAGTATTTTTTCAAAGGTTTGTGATGAATGGAAACACTATGACTTTTAAACGGAGACACAGAGACCGATTTCTGTCTGTTATCTTCAGGAAATATATAAGGAAACGTTGCCAAAAAAATTTATTGGATTGGAGCAAGCGAGGCGAGAAAATGTCGGCTAAGAGTCCTTGACTTTTACCCGGTGCCTTCCGCGGACTACACCACTTCATCCCGCGTATCAGGAACTTGATCCCCTAAAAAATTCTTTAAATTCATAAATGCGTGTCAATACTTGACGCTTTCGACAGACAAGCTGGCATTAAAAAAAATCGCTAAAGCAGTTAGTATGCACGACAGGGGAGCAATTACTACATCAACACCTAGGTGTAATGACAGACGAACCATGAAGTTAAAAGGCCTTTATTGTTAGCCTCATGGCATAAAGCTAACCAAAAAGCTGCTTCGATGATTGACGGAAATCATAAAAAGACTGTGGTTAACACTTCCTCGAGGCCAAAAGATAAAAATATATTTATTTCGAAGAAATTGATTCCATTACGATGGAAACTTTTCCATATGTTAGACGGTGCTCGCGAATCAAGCGCTATTCTTTGAAAACGTCGTTGGTTGACCCTCTATCACAAAATCAGTTCCTATGATCGCGGTTTTGGTGAGTAAAACATTTCCTGTCCACTTTGTAAAAACAAAAGGAGAATAAAATCTGGCTTAATTACAAAAATGTTGTCGATAAACCAATTAGCCGCAGCTTTTTGTGCAAACGCGAGCACTGATTTATTACACATTTTTTATTGTAGAAGGTACGAAAGAATTTTGAACATGGATCATTGTGACGACCTCTGAAAGTGATGTCCTTGAACTATCCGGATCCCTATTGGATCTCTTTACATCATAACTACTTGTAATAATCAGGACACGAAAATATCTCACACCTTTTTATAGGGAAAGTTGTATACATATAGCGCAGTAATAAGCCCTCTTATCTACCGACTTACCGTCTGATTTAGAGGGCAACTTGACAAGAGATAAAACACGGGTAAAGATTACGATAGAGACGTATGACCAGTTATTGAGTCGTTATTAAATACTTTAACAATTGCTCTATGCTTTCACAACGGTCTCAAACCAACATCAAATAAAAGATTAAAGAGCGCTTGGGAATTACAGTTCTTGTAATTGGGAATTACTTGCCTTTGTTTGCCAGCAATGAAAAGTGCATATGGTATTCAGTCACATGGGTACAAGGCAAAAGAGCGCTTTGAATGACATATTTCTCGACCACCCGGTGGGTTTGTTTGATCCTAGCTCTCAGGGGTTACATTGGAGGCGCTTCTGTCATTCTGTCACACTAATTTGACAAATAGCCGCATTTTCAAGGCTATATCCACTCATCAAATCGACATGTTCCCAAAGAACTTGCGCTGACTGTGGTGTGCAAGTATTCGGTGGCACCGAAACTCCACGTTTGTAGAACATCACTGCCAGAACTGATTCCTTTGAAGTAGAACTATTCTGAAAAAGGGAGAAAAAAAGAGCTATCCATCGACCGATCGGGGCTCATAGAATTTTTATACAAAATCAATAACAGCGAAGATGGGGGTTTCAATTCGAGAGGCAGGCGGTTAATTTTCTATCCACGGGTGTCCTGTGCAGTGTTCGTCATTTCTAACTTTCGGTTCAAATTAAGAAACAAGGCATTTGGTTTCTTTGTACTTCGACCATCAGGTGTGCTATGACTTAAAAAACCCTCACGTAAATACCGGTTGTGGAATCCACTTATGGTTAATCATTTTCAGCGGGAGTTTATCTTAGCTCAGTAAAAACTCTATCTTTGTTTACGCGTGCCCACGCAACGAAATCTCGAAGATTACAAATTCTAATGTTTACGGTTATTGCGTTTATCTTGTTAGTTTCTTTTAATATCTGTGTCCAACTCAAACGAGGTCCTTTTGCATTTAATTAAGCCGAGAAAAAACCGCGATTGCACTTGGCATAAAGGTCAAGTGAAAGAGAGAGAAAAAAACTGTACTTTGTCATTTCTTTCTTAAACCCAAATTATAATATGAATGGAGGGCAATAAGTGATTAATTGTGTGTTTTGACATTATCTGCATAACTGTGAGTCTTTTCTTTGATTAACAGAGCAAACTGTTCTGTAACACCGCTGGGTTACAAAGCGGGCCTATGATTGATTAGCTGGCGGAGACGAGATTGAGTAGCACCCGGTAAGAATGCGCGCGTTTGGAAGGAACACACGATTCTGACACGGCCTTGGGGAGTAAACACAAGTGGATAAAGCAGAGAGATTAGACAACCAGGTCTATAAAACAAATCTCCTTTGATTGTTGAGATTGTTTGTCGTAATATCATCAACTTCGAGTACTAGACATCGAACAACAATTCCATTGCCGTCATTTCCGTTTATTGAATTTACACTCAAAAGACGTCAAGTTCAGGGAGAAGAGTTTGAGCACATGCAAATGGTCTGATTAGCAAAGCAATGGAACCAAAGTATTTTGTATCACTGACGAATTTTATTATTTTAGTTATGGTGATTCCTAATTCCTATCATCAAGGTTCTTCGACAGTGATAGCGTCGTTCCCTTTGACAAACTCTTGTTACGACAACTACGGAAGGCCTCAAAGATGTTTACCAGAATTTCACAACTTGGCGTACGGGAAAGACATCAATGCAAGCCAGACTTGTGGCAAGCCTCCACGAAAATTTTGCAAATGGGAACTCCGCGGATATACATGCGATGTGTGTGACTCTAGATTTCCAAGCAAGACGCATTCTGTCAAATATCTCACTGATCTGCACAACCAAAATAATGTGACTTGCTGGCTGGCGGATCCTAAGCAATCCCGACAGAACGTGTCACTTACACTCTCTCTTGGTAAAACCTACGACATCACCTATATTAGCCTACAGTTCTGCGGCCCGAGGCCGGACTCTATGGCCATCTACAAATCGGTGGATTTCGGCAAGAGATGGCAACCGTATCAATTTTATTCTAGCTCATGCAGTAGGATGTATGGAAGGCCTAGCAAATCTTTAGCCAGCACAGAAAATGAGCAAGAATCATTGTGTACCGATGTACATCTTAGACAGCCTCTTCAAGGGAGCCGCATAGCGTTCAGCACCCTGGAGGGACGGCCCTCTGCTAATAATTTTGAATCAAGCCATATTCTTCAAGAGTGGGTGAGCGCGACCAACATCAGAATTGTCTTCGACCGCACTAGCGCGTCCAAAAGGAAACAAGATTATTATTATTACGCCGTGTCCGACTTTGCGGTTGGTGGACGATGCCGCTGTAACGGACATGCCGCTCGGTGCCCAATCGGCCGTGACGGGAAACCAGTTTGCGATTGCAAGCACCACACGACTGGTAGCAACTGCGAGCAATGTAAAGCATTTTTCAACGACCGACCGTGGAGGTCTGCGACCGAGTCCTCTGCAAACGAATGTGTAGGTGAGCGACACAAATGATTTTTTTTTTCCTGTTTAATTTTTCAGTTAATGGATTATCATTTATCTACCATCATTGATTGAGACTGTTTACGTGGTCTTGCATTGTTCCTTTGAGTATGTTTGCGTTCGCTAATTTGCCCTCTTATCGGGCTAACTGTCGTCGATTCTAATTTAAGTCTAATTAGTGTGTACAAATTGACGCAAAAAAGCACTATCTAGAGTTTGGAAAACGCATCTCAAAGTGGACTTTTGCCTTTGATTCAGCAGTTGTTACCTCAAGTTCGTCGGAGCAACCATTTTGAGGTTTCGGTTCTTAATGCGCAAAAGTTGCGGCATTCCTACAAAGACACAAAGGATCACGCTGAGGTCCCTGAATGTCTGATGTCGAGTTAGTGGACAATAAATGAGGTGTTACCTCCTAAAGACAGCTATTTTCTCTGTACATTAACGAGGGTGTTGATCTGTCATAATTCGTCTCTTTCCGTACATAATAACACGCAAAGGATAGTCTTACTCAGCGCGAATCTGGACAGCGATGGCCTAAACTTTCAAACTTTACTCATACGTACACGTTTAATTGGAATGATCAAGTCAATGCTTATTGGTTTTTGCTTTTTTGTTTTTTTTTTTCTGAACCGCTCGTTCGTTGGAATTAAGAGACATCGCAAATAAATTCACTTCTGATATTACAAGTGTGCTTCGAAATAAATGAGTGCCTACCATCTTGTAGCTGCCATGCATTTAAAACAGCCCTATAGCGACCTCTAATTTAGAGATATCGACACCAATCGAGACAATAAAAGATAGTAGCAAAACTTTATATATACATATATTCTAGTCTTGCAGCATTACCTTTCCATTAGTAACTGCTCTTTACTGAATAACAATTGTATGGAAAAATTTGTTACCGTCCTTTATTTATCTCTGAAGAATTTTACAAAACCCAGAGGGAAGCAAAAGAATTTATCGCGTTTCCGCGAACTCATTTCGATATTACAAAGTGGACGTTATTAAAAAACGGTTTGCATGCGCCTTCTTGGCGACATGAAAATCACAAAAACCCAAAACAAAGAAACAAAGAACCAATAAAGGAAGGGAATATTATATAATCATAGCTTAAGAGGCTGCCTTAACGAAGGAGGTGGAATAAAATTTATGTGATTTTGCTTAATTAAATCAAGTTTCTATGACCGATCAACACCACGAGGCGGAATTTATATTTTAACCAAAGGCCTTTTTGTTGCACATTTAAGGATCGATGCAGATATGTTATAAATGAAGTTGTATTACATTTGAAGGTAAAAAATTCCTACGAATGGCTTATTAAGAGGGTCTGAAAATTGGTCAGATTCTATCTAACGCAATCGAAAAGCTTTTTATGTTTAGCTGTTAAATTTCGCCAGTTTTGCATTTACTGGGTCACTGAATAATGTCATTGTAGGACGTGTTTCTTTTCGTGGCCTCCAGATATCAGGATTTGGAGATTGCTAAAAATTGCAAAAATCTATCAAATATAGCAGGGCTTGCATGTGTCCTATCTTAAACTGGAGGATATCAATCTCTGCAGCAACTAATAGAATTTGAGACGATTAATCTAACTTCCGCCAAAAACCTTTAAGGAGATTCATGAGTCATTAGAACATTTTGGGTTTTTTCAGGAAGTTCTCATATCTTTTTCTGGCAGTCTGCTATTGCAGCTGTTTTGAACAACGCAACGGGCCAAATGCTTGCATCACGTAGTCGTTCAGAACAATGATATTTCCGCTCTTGTGTGATGATTTGATAACATGAAAGAACGTTGTTTTTATAGGTAAACAGTGGGGTATCTCTTCTGCAAGGCAAATTACTTGAAAAACAATTTATGTTATGAAAGCTTTCTGTTTACTAAACCAGTCGATTAACTGAACATTAAACACGTTAAATGTCTCATTTACGGGCTATTTAGGCCCTCGTTACAGACCTTCAAAGGAGAGTATGACTCTTTTGACATTTTCAATTTACTACAACGATCTGTGTGTCGCCGGTAATTTCCTCCTTTTAGATACCAGCTGAGTCGTATTGTAATATACTTAAAAAAGATGGATGCGGGACTTAATAGATGTAGATGTATTAACTTTTAAGCTTCTGCAATTTCCGCTGATTTTGACAAGTGCTGACCAAGCTCAATACCCGCACAAGATTTGCGGCTTCACCTGTCTTCCAAACGGATCCAGCACGATCTTGATGCGGCTTTGTCGGTCCGCCACAAGGATGAAGCAGTCTCCGAAGTGTGCAGTGATTAATGAAGTGTTAGCTGGTGATCGGCTGCCATTGACAACACAAAATTGTAGTTTCATGCTGGGTAGAATTCATAAATCGTAGCAGAGGGCAGAAAATGCGTCTTGGGACATTGCCCGTAGCCTGCTTGTCTGTCAATCTCCAATGTTTTTATAAAGATTTGGTGTGAAATAAGCCTGTAGGAAATTGTAGAACCCCATTCTATAGATGACCGTACATTTTGGTGATAACATAAACTTGCTCGTTTTTTTTTTTTGTTATTACAAAGGTCGTTTACTAATGATATTGACGCGTAAACATTCACGACAGGGTCAGCATTACTTTTCTACTGATGATTTCTCTCGTGTGAAAATAACCAGTGGTCGTTTTTGTGAACAAATCTAAAGGTAAAAGGAATCATTTCTCAGTGAAAAGCTAGAAAGAGGGACTGGTTTGAAAAACAGACAAACTCATCTTCACCCAAAGGTGTTTTCTTGATGGAGCACTGAACTCTCTTAACCAGCTCACAAGAAAGTGTATAACGTCTAGAAGAGAGAATTAAGAATCGGATCTTTAGAGTAAAAATACATAGATGTATTTTCTCATATATTTTTACTTATTTTGTTTGTTTTTGTTTAGCTTGCAACTGTAACTTACACGCCAAAGCTTGTGTGTTTAACATGGAATTGTTCAAGTTGTCTGGTGGCCACAGTGGCGGGGTGTGCATACACTGCAGACACAACACGGCTGGAAGGTTCTGCCATTACTGCAAAGAGGGATATTACAAGGACTCTTCAAAGGATATCACAGACAGAAGAGTCTGTAGACGTAAGTGACGTTTGTTAATTGTTTTTATTGACGCTGTGCAAGTGAGGCCATATGCATCCTCGTTATAGTGGTCAGAAAAGACGAGCGAAAGGCGACAGTGTAAGCACAAACCAGCGGGTTCCGAAGTCGAGAATTTGAAAAATTCAACCGAAATGTAGCCCGTATGATATATTTAGGTAACATCTCTTTATTCCCTTCTTATTTTGAGTTGAACTCATGAAAAATACCGTGTTTTATTTCCACTCTAATGTTTCCCTTAAAAACCATGCTTACCCGAGACCGTAAAGGTCAAAATCCATTGTATACAAACCAAAATAGCTTCAATTAAATACTTTTTGGACAGAATACTCCTTTATAACTTAGACAGAGCATTATCTGCCCTCGCCCACGCAAGGCCCTTGCGGCAAAATAACTGAACCAGCTCGTGGTGAACAATGACTAAGCTAAAACATATTCGTGTCTCGATTGCGAGATATCTCGCATGTTGTTAGGAGGACAATCTTCGCGGAAACACACGTTTTTTCTTTTTGCAAGTGAAAAACTGATTATTGAATTCCGAGAGATTTGTGGTTCTAGTTAAGATCATGGTAGCATTAGCATGCACTCGGAAACCTCTTGAACTTCTAAACAGCTGTTTTCATTTCATAACCATCGTTATTTCCAAGCCGATTACAAAAAGTTGTTGAAGAGGTATGACGCATGAACTCACGAAGCTTCATGAAAGATTTTGAAATATTTTTTGATCTGCTCTCTTCAGACACCGATTTAGATTTTCACGACTGTGTTATCTTGGAAAGACCAAGTCTAACAGCCGAAGTTCAAAGTGCCTCTGAAACCTGTTCAGATATAATTTTTTAAACTCTTCGGAGGGCTGTATCTTGATATGTCAGTGACAATGACAAAAAATGACAGTAAAAGCTCAGCAAAACAAATCAAAAAACAAACAAACAAAAGATTATACAGAGCTTATTAGCACATGGAGCCAAAAATTAAGGGTGTAACGGGGTAAGTCGTTGCTGTGGTGACCAGCTATGTCGAAATGATCAGGGGGACTGTTTAACAATCGATCACTGAGCTGTGCATGTTGGAATGGCCCGCTAAATTCTTTACCTTAAGGAGGCTCTGATTTCTGACACTAATTCCCTCATTTAGGTGTAATAAATTCATACTCAAACCTCTTAGCCAAATCTTGAAAATCGGATTGTTGATGAAAGCGAGGAAACCAAAAGGAAACATTGTAGGTTTTACAGTTCAAGAGCTTTCTTAGGCTGATGTAACTAAGATCTTATCAAGAACAAGAAGTCTCTTGGAATTCTTGAATCCTAACCAATTTGGCTTAAATATTTCAAGTGAGGCATTTAAAATTCGTGTCAAGCTCTTTCATTCTGGACCATTCTCCTCAATTTTCGGTCCATTCGGCCATTTTGTATTTGTTTACTACGACAAGATAATTCTCCTTAGAGCTCCCTTGAAGAAAAAAATTTGAAGTAGGAAAGAGAGTCAAAACATCGTACGGAAGGCTTTTTGGTTGCAATCCAGCTTAGGCTTTCCCCTACTTTATTTCTACAATTTTTAGCAGTTTTTAGGATTTTTTTTTAACCACAGCAATAGTTTGCTCATGCCTAAAACTATGTTTTCTGTTACCATAGGAAGTCCGTTCAGTTGTTCACCAAGTGCAGTAGTTTAAATTTTGCGACTGTTTCTTTTTTTTGCTACAATTAATATGTTCAAGATCCTTGACAGTTTAAAAGTGGGTTCTTTTTGACATCTGCCAGAGCTTTATATTTGACATAAATGGTGATGCTGATTCGTCATTGTCACTACGACAGATTAATGAACTATTGTGGTCGAGAGAAAAGCAAAATTCACCCTATTTCGGCGTTTGCATAGACAAATAATCAAACTTCTGGCCATGATTGAAGATTTCTTAACCAGACAGTGCGATATATGACGCGTCACTTAAAGGCTTGCGAAAGAGAGCATGCCGTCATCATGGTCACGCTTGTGGACTCATGATGTAGATCGAAAAAATACAAGAGTTGTTTTTAGAAGTGACAGTGCTAAAACTCAACTTGAGAAAATATTTCAGTCATTCATTACAACTCTCTATACGGAATTTTAAGTCTCAAAATATAACGTCAATTGAAACTAAATTTAGTCATTCCTTCAATTATTTCATTTAAGCCGGAAAAACTCATTCAATTTAATTTGTTTTAATTGATGTGAAGGACGCAAAACAAGTAAAGCTAAAGAGACAAGGATCTTAAATCCCTGTTTACTCAATAAGGGATAGAGTTACAGCTAATTTTGTTGTGTTTTCTTGATGGAAAGTTGTCTATCCCTTGTTAATTTTAGAGTAACTTAAGATACATATAATTATGGTAAACGGAGAGCAAAGAGGCTTGAGGAAAAAATTTCCGAACAACATGTTTGCCTAAACAGTAGACCAGGCAATTTACCTTAATGTCGCGATAGTCACTGTTTTCACGGTCTCTTTTAAAACTGAGTAACCTGTAATCCACTTACGAGATCAGCCAAGAAGGCAAAATGCACTTAACACGGCTATTAATGCAGAGGAAAATGACAGGAAATGACTGAGATTTCCACTTTTTATCCTTAATCTGCCCATTGAGACATCTTCGTTTTTTATTTTTATTTTTAAACGCTATGATGAAAGCAACGTTATGCAAACGGTCAACGGGTGGATAATGCCTCAGTTCTGGATGAAGAAAAGAATAATTCACGATGAAAAGAAAACGAATCACTTTTCTGCGTTGGCTAACGCGCATTATCCAGCTCAGATCACGAAGGCTATTCGCGGATTAAGTTATGGAAACATATAAATTGGATTTGAAAACTTACGGCGACCTGCCAGTTCAACAGGATTATTCTGGGATCGAGACTCGACAGCGGTTTTAAGTTCACGTGGTATACTGTGGACAGACTTTATTCAAGTCGTCTCATTTGATGACATGAAGATAAAATCAATTGGGTTTAATGTCTATTTTGATTTCTATCTTAAGCTTTGCCCACACGAAGCCTAAAAGGATTAGAAGAGTTTACATGTGTACTTTGAAGACACATTTCACGATAGGAGCACGATAGAAGCAAAAAATCTGCTTCTAAAATGAAGAAATGCCCTTTTCACAACAGCTCGACGGCTACTGAGATTTGACCATATGGTGAAACGGGCTCAAAAATCTCAACCCCTCTTTTTTAACTATCCATCGAACCCGATATGTATGTATGCCTGCATTTAAGAAAAGACCTTTCATGAAAAGGTCTCGCCATGATAAATTGGATTTGTGTGGTTATGAGGCAAGTTTGTTTTGAGAACAGTCATAAATCATCCGTTTCTGATCTCCAACGTTTTGGCAACCTATTGGGGACAGTCCAAACATGAGGGTAACTGGCCCATTAGAGACATGCTTTGGCTTGCCTCCGCGGTAACCGTTGTCAAGTCGCTTATGTTTCAATTGGACGGTGCACACTGAGCCATAAATACAATTGAAGTAATGAAAAGCTTTTCCTTGCAAAAGACTCGTCCATAAAAATAGAAACTTAGTCTGCATTTTAGTGGGAGACTGGTGACCTGGTGATCAAGTGGGGTTCGATTTCAACCGGTGCGAGTCTACACTTGACCGTGTCAGCGTGCTCTGCTCTTGAACCAGACACTTAAATTTTACAGTGTTTACTCTAAGCCCAGGAATATTCATAAATAGCATCAAACTGTTCAAACAAAGCCATGATGAAATAAGTATAAGTATAACTTTATTTAAACACGAAACATTGATGAGCAAAAAGATGCTCGTTACAAAAATGTACATGTATACTAACTAATATAATTAGAAACTATAATATGATAAGTGAATAAATAATTTGAGAAAATATATATCGAAAAGAAAAAATACATGCTATATGGCCCGAAATATACAAGCTAAAAATATTGCAGATTAAGGACTAACAAAATATATTATTGGAAAAACGCAGAAGGCGTTCTTGAAGAAGGATGGCGGGGGAGGAGGAACCGGGACACTGAAGTCATCTATTCCTTCCCGCAAGAGATTCTCTCGTAAGATTCCATTACATGGCTCTATAGTGGTAATTCTTCTTATTTTGCTAACGAACATGCATTTGTTTTTTCTTGCCCCCAAATCAAATGTAGCCCTAATCAACCAGATCACGATCGCCTTGGACGTTAAAATTTTCTTTACGGACGCCGCCATTCTAGTCCCGCTAAGCAACCTGGTCGCTGAATCGTGACGTAATCAAGTATGAACGTATTTTTTGGCGATCTCTTGACTGATTCTTGCAATGCTCAGAACAGCTGCTGTGAGTGAACCGCATACAATAGTCTACGTTCGGCCAGGTTGCAGCGTTGTTTTCAAAACGGTGGCGCCGTCAGTCAAATTTTGAGCACATCCACGACAATCTACGAACAATGGCGCTTTTCCTCAGAGTCTCAGAACGCGGTAAACATTAATGTCTTATTCCTACCTTTCTTTGGAGGATCTCTAAGTCTGGTTTCCTGAGTATTCTTCTCTTGTCATCGGTTTTAATTATGAGATGAATTCAGAGTTAAAATTATCCGGTGTCTCATTTGATATGTGAGGTCTGTCCCTGTACAGCCAGTCTCCTAATTTCTAATCCATTCAACTTACAAGGATACGGTTTCTCTATGTCTATATGCGCAAGTTGAGTCATACCTCGATCGCTGTTCGGTCGCATCGTCTACTCTTTGGTGCGAGAGATTTCTTTACTTCATTGGATAACACAACAACATTACTTTTAATTAGTGGAAGAGCTGAAAAGAAACATCGTGCCGAGAAAGCCATAAAGGGGCTTTGCTGCTGAGCAAAATGGAGACCAACATTTGCCTCTGTGATTAAATCACAGCTTTATTCCAAGTAGCGCAGACATCGCGATGGAAAGGGACGAGCATAAGTATACGAGAAGTCACCTTTCGTTAGGTGAAAGGCGCCGTGAAGGCAAACTTTTCAAGTTACTCGCTTGGCATCGCTTTTTATGATTTCATTTCAGCAAAAGATGTCACTTTCAATGAAAAGTCCCAATTAGCAATGATTCCCCCCATTCGTAGTCGTTAAGTTCCTTGTAGTACGGGTAATAAGAAGATAAATTAGGTGTACCCTACACGCCAAGTTCGCGATAAGATTAAGTTCAATAAGTATTCAAATTACTTTAATTTAATTATTATGCGATCCTGCCTCTGCAGAATCTCAGGATTATCTGAATAAAGTCTGTTTTTCCGTGGAGTACAAAGAGGCTAAAAATACTATTTAATTCAGATTTTAAAGTCTCTTTCCTTAGAGGTTCAGTTCGGTGAATTCCTTTGATCGTGTGCCTAGATGAAATTTCAGCGCCTCTAACTGACTCTGATAAGCGACTCTGTGGTGGTCCCTGTTGGTGTGCTTCTAGGAGCCGAGAAAATTTCACAAATTAGTTCCTCCAGGGCATAATTTTAAGGGCAGAGGCTAAAAGTGTGGTTTTATGCTGACCGTGAAAACTTATTATATATAATTTGTCCGACCTAGTTCACCTTTAACAAATTTTCTTACGATGCAAAACACACCTGTCATGTATTTGTCGCGGTTTTCATGTACTTTTTTTTCCATCCGGT